TATATATATGTGTGTGTATAATATATATATGTGTGTGTGTGTGTGTGTGTGTGTGTGTGTGTATATATATGTGTGTGTGTGTATGTTCGTATGTTTGTATATGTATGTATATATATATATATATATATATATATGTGTATATGTGTGTGTGTAGTTGATTTGTGCATCCCTCTGCTGTCTCTACAGAACACCCAGAGGACTGTTCCCGGGCTGTGGGTGAGTCCAGTCCCGCAGCGTTGGGCCTCCCGTCTACCCATGAACACCGCGGTCCTGTTTGTGCCGCAGCAGGAGGCCTGGGTGGTGCAGAGGATGGGTCGCTTCCACCGCATCTTAGAACCGGTGATTGATTTCTACCGAGGGCTCAACCAGCTCATCTGTCCCTCTCTCTGTCTGCGACCGTATTTCCTCTCTGTAAAGATACAGACACTAACTCTCATTTGTCCTTCCTTACAGGGACTGAACTTCCTCATTCCCATACTTGACCAAATTCGTTACGTGCAGAGCCTTAAAGAGATCGTTATTGACATTCCTGAACAGTCAGCTGTATCTTTAGGTAATTCTATTACATTTGCATAAAAGGCAAAGCAACTAATAAACAGCTGTGTTTATTGTTGGTTTAATTAACCATCTTTATGGCTGAATTAACTCGTATTTTCTTTACACAGACAATGTGACGCTGCAAATTGACGGAGTCCTTTTTTTGAGAATCTTAGATCCTTTAAAGGTAAGAATTAGCAAAACAATACTCATTGTTTTCAGTACCTGGTTGGCTATTTAGAGAGTATTCACTGTGATTTCCCACCCATCATACGGCTGATGACCAGAGAAATACTAACACAAAACAATGTGTGTAAGTGACTGCAGCAAAAGTCTTTTACACTACTATAAATTAATTGTTAAATCAGTCAATCATTTGCGACTGAAGTGGCTAATGATTAATAACCTTCACTGTTTGTAGTGCTGTGCTTTTGCCAGCAGGTGGCGCCAGTTAGTTCGATTATTCATGAGCTGATCAGTTGTGTGTCTCTCCAGGCTAGTTATGGTGTAGAGGATCCAGAGTATGCAGTTACTCAGCTCGCACAAACCACAATGCGTTCAGAACTGGGCAAACTCACCATGGACAAAGTATTCAGGGTAAGAAACATCTGCTCGGTGTGTATTTCATCTCAACGAGGGAAGTACCTTAAACCTGCTGACCTGAATCTCTCTGGTTTTCAAGGAGAGGGAGTCTCTTAACTCCAACATCGTCCACTCCATCAACCAGGCGTCGGACGAGTGGGGCATCCGCTGCCTGCGTTATGAAATCAAAGACATACAGATTCCACCTCGTGTTAAAGAGTCGATGCAGATGCAGGTACGACACATGTAACCACAACGCCCACTTCAATACACTGACCTGTGTAGGAGGTTATTTAGAGTCAAGCTTGCAGCCAGAATTTGCAGAAAACTAAATGTAAATCCTAATTTTTATTGTTATACAACTTCCTTATCGTCCCTATAATTCACAGTTAGTAATATTCTGTGCAGTACCATCTTGTTTGCAGGTGACATAAGTAGTATTATATTCACTCTAAGAACTTGTGCGCAGTGATAGTTCGTTAATACACTTGAGAGTTCCTAGAAGTTATTAAAAAGGTCACACCCAACCACTTGGGGTTTCTAAGATAATTTAGTTTCCCATGGGGAGAAACCTTTTGACGTCCTTCTTTGTTCTTTTGTTTCCTGTGTAGGTGGAGGCTGAGCGAAAGAAGAGAGCCACAGTGCTGGAGTCCGAGGGGGCACGGGAAGCGGCCATCAACGTCGCAGAGGGTTGCAAACAAGCCCAAATCCTGGCTTCAGAGGGACAGAAGGCAGAGCAGATAAACAAAGCCTCCGGTCGGTTTTACTTTTGACTTAAAGAAACAACAGTTTAACTTGGATTTTTCCATTGACTCAGTTACATGCATGAATCATTCGATCACATATGTAATTGAAGGTCTTGTTAATGTAAGACTCAGGCCGTCATTACACGAAATCCACAAAGCATTTAATTACGTGCCTGCAGACTGTTACAACACTGCACGGGGATCTCACGACTCAGACATTAAACACGGCTACTCACAACTTGCAACCGCATTTGAGTAGAAGTGAATCAAAAGAAAGGTTAAGAAAGGAGTTTTAAAGCCTCCAATAAACCCCAAACAAATCTTCTTTTGTTATTAATTTACATGCTGTGTTGTCTCTAGGTGAGGCCCAAGCTGTGATAGCCAAAGCAGAGGCCAAATCCAAGGCTATTCGTCTGCTGTCAGAGGCTCTGGCTGAAGAGGTTTGAAGTTTATTCCATTGTTATTAAAGGATTAGAAGTGATCGTGCGTTATTTGGAAAATGTTTTTTACCGTAACTAGAATTTTGGTTGCCTTCTTGACAGAACGGAAGTGCTGCCGCCTCGCTGAGCGTTGCCGAGCAGTACGTCTCTGCTTTCTCCAACCTCGCCAAAAAGTCCAACACTGTGCTTCTGCCCTCTAACACCGGTGACGTCAGTGGAATGGTCACACAGGTATCATGTTTTCTGCCCACTAATCTCAGGATTAGGGTCACTGTTTGATATGTTTTTACTCAAAAGAATAGTTTGACATATCGGGGGAATGCGCTTACTCGCTTTCTAGCTCAGAGTTAGATCCAGGACAAGTGTACGAATGAATTAAACACACACGATATAACTGTGTTAACTAGTGAGCTTTAGAGGCGTTGGTAGGGAGGTTTCTTTCTCTTTACAGTTTCTTCTAATACAGTTATATTATGTTAACATAAAGACTATATGAGGACTCCTCAGACAGTTCTGGTCATGTGTTTAGCCAGTGTTGTAATAATCACATAGGGATTTAATTAAACTCAAGGTAACCATAGTAACAATTCACACTCACCACAATACGAGTTATCTCAGTGATGACAATAACACGTGTAAAACTATCCTTTTTTTCTTTGGTAAGCTGTCACAGTATAGGCATGATGGCACACTCTCAGGTGGTCTTGAGATAGAAATTAAGAATTAATTAAAAAGGAGTCAACAGTGTCGGGTTCTCCTCCACTATCTTTTCATATGAAGACTCCTCGTCTTTAAATATCACTGACTCAAACCTACTGCAGAGGGTTTAACGGGTTATGAAAACAATGGTTATTTCTATAGAGTGGTTAATACGAGGCGATGGAATCACTACCGCTTTTGTCCACAGGGGAACCAACACAAAAAGAAAAAGTTCCTTGTTGCTGCTTTAACTGTTGCTATACGTGGCTAACACTTTCCATCCTGCTCTTCTATCCCTCAGGCTATGACCATTTATAGCACACTTGCCACACCGAAGCCAAAAGTTAAGAGCATAAAGGCCGAGACAGAGGAACCCGGTGAAGAGCCTCCAGTCCAGTCCTTAGCTCAGTAGCAGAGGACGCCGTTGCTGCTCTAAACTGTGGCAGACAGTGATAAAGGAAGAAGCACTTTTCCATAATTATAGAGTACAATGGCTCTGCTGTGTGGACTCGCTCACTGTCTGGTGCAAAGGACACTCTATCTACTGCGGCGCACAGGATGTTGAGACTGAAGAGCGGCACTTGATAAAAAGGAGACGGACGATGCCGAGCAAGGACAGCTGGGAAAAGAGAACTGAGCCACAAGTTATGGTCCTTGTGTGGTTCAGGTGTTGTATCTGGATTTAAGCACTGTGCTGTACTCTGTATGCATGATAGGGACGTTTACTCTGCAACTGTGATATTATGTAGACATGGCTGAATATTTCAGGTCCGTTGTCGCCCAGTCTGATTCGTCATGGTTGAAATATAATTGAATATATTTATTTTTTTATTTTCTACATTGCATAAAATCCTTTAAAAATTAAGAAACGTTTTGGGGGGGATGTAGTCCAAAACCTTAAAGCACTAAGACAACAGCATTTGGAGGATAATGTATAATTAAATTAATTATAAATAAATTCAATTATTTGGGTGTTGATGTTGGGTTGGTGACTGGATAAAGGAAATATGGGCACTAAGTAAAAATAAAAGTCTGAGCAGTGACAGGTTGTGTTATTATGGCAGCACTGTGGTTTTTCCACTGAAGTATCAGTTTTTTAACATTTGTACAACATCAGAGCAGGTTCACAAAGTTCCTCTGTCACAGACAGGCATGGCAAATAAAACCGTGGTCACAGTTAATGACAGAACATATATAATAACAACATATATAACGTATTATAGGTGTGTTTTCATTAGTTTATAATCATCTACAGTATGAACCAGAATGAATAAAACCCTGGTCCTGGATACAACCTTTCACGAGTTCTGCAGCCACCGTAGTTTCTCCTACACAGTTTGTTTCAGTTAGTTGCAGTCTACAACTTCACTGCTAGATGCCACTAAGTCCTACACACTGGTCCTTTAATAGTTTCTTATTATTAAAAGGAGGGGGAAAAGTCTGGGGAAATATGAATAATGCTCCTTTTCGCCTCAGTTGTGATCTTCTACTGCAGTGTAGTTTCCCTGAATGTGGCCTCAGGCTTCCAGTTCTCTCTGCTGGGCCTTTGGTAGGCTACATGGATGTTATGTTTATGCTTTTACCATTCCATTGGCATTGCTTCCAACCCCATTAGTGACGGTAAAGTTTAAAACTGCATCAAAATGTCACATAGCTTTATATGCACAGAGACGAAGAGCTGTTATGTTTTCCAAGGACAACATGTCGACATTTAAAACCGCCAAATAAAATATACTGCTCTGTGTGCTCCTGTTGTCTCAGATTTTCTGCTTACGTTTTATGGTCTAATTTTATATTTGGCTAAAAAAAATCTTAACACAAATAACATAATGTGTGAGTAGGATCATCTGGTCAAACACCCCAAACCCTGATGCAGATATTTGCATGCCAAACAGCTCAGATACAGAGTTACAATACCAAAAAACACCACAGCAATCCTCTAAACAACTTACATACGTATGTCCACGTGAAGCTAGTTCAATTTGTAAATGCGTCTTTTTCTCTCTGTTTTAGCACACATAAATTTTCCAAATGCCTGTTTGGTGTTTCAGTGTGTACTGGGTAAACATAGCTTCTCCAAAACAATGACGTAAGCTTTCTCTGTGATTAAACATTTTAAATTTCAATATGGCTGAATGTCAGTAACCGGAATTTATGTTGATTTTGCAGACAAGTCAAATTCTACGGAAGCCCAGAACAGCTCGAAAAAACAGGATAATCAACCAGTTATCACAAGAAAACAAAAGGTCATCTCCTCTTACTTGTACTTCTATGTTTATTAGAGATCAGGAGAGCAATGCGAGCATGAATAGATTGTGTATTATAGATGTAGCAATGGTTCAACATAATGGACAATGCATGAATGAATGAAATGCCTGTTAATATTCACTTTAATACTGACCCAAAAGAGGAAAAGTGTATGAACAGAATCAGAACATTGCAGTGATCTTTGAGCTCATTTAATAAATATCAATCTGATGTTGTCAGTATTGCATCACACCGCAGGAAAATTAGTAGTTTAAATGAACTCTCATGTACATTCTGCTAACAACTGTTTTCAGTTCAGTTATAAATCCTCATCATGTCACGACAGTGATCTTGAAGGCTGAAATCAGGTGTGATCAAATGAACCAGACACTTGTTTTTCAGTTCTCCATAATTTCCAAAAGTAATTTTCTCATGATAAATGATGTCGTTATATCGGGAAATCTGCCTTTTCTTTTCTCAAGATAACAAGATAATTTAAATCGCAATCACGAAATAACAGCTTTAAGAAAATAAGTGCAAGCACGGCAGTTCTCGGCTTCCGTAGAATACATAGCGGTTATTAATAATTGTACGGCTTAATGTAGACATAGTCTGAGAGGTAGTAAACAAATGAGTAGATCACAATTGGTTCCTTGAGCAGAAATGAAATCCTTAAGCCAAGTGTGAACTGGACGTTGACCCAACTGGTCCAACACAAAATCTAGATAGATTGTAGATAGCATCAGGTACATCAGGTACAAAGCTATTGTGTTGAAAACTAAACCTGCAAACACATACACTGAACCTACAACAGAGGGTCAGCAAAACACAGTGTTACAGTAAGCTCTATTTAGAAACAAATCAATGCTATCCTAATGTTAATAAATGGATATAAAAAACCACAACAAGCATTTCTCAGCTAGCTTGCGGTTTCTTCTGACAGACAATTTCACAATCTTCCTCCATGATGGAGACACAGCTGGATGGTTGGAGACTGGAGTAGATGTCAGTAGATGTCAGAACTGATGAGTTTGTATTTGTACGTCTTTATATTAAAAGTTTAATGATTTGCATATCAAAACAGCTTATGTTCCTGGAAATGAAGGAAAGAACGGAGAGTGTGTTGCCAACATCAGCAGCTTTTTGTCCAAGAACATAATGCATACAGCCGAGGAAGTGTGTGTGTGTGTGTGTGTGTGTGTTTGTGTGTATAGGTGTGTATGAGCCTGTGATTGAACTCATTTGTCCATTACTGTTGAGAGGAAACTGCTTTTGTCATTCCAACACACACAGGAAGCTGTCAGTCTTGTCTCTGGACAAACCCACACACACATTTCAGTTTTCTTTTGGGCAGCGGTTTTCATCTTGTGTTTGACAGGAAAGTGATTGTGAGATGGTGAGTCAGGTTTGGCTGTGAGTCTGCATTGTTCTCTTCTCCCCAATAGAGATGTTCTGTTCCTGTATGGAACCATAAAGATACACAGAGCCCTCTGACTCTATGTTAAGCGCCTGGTGAAGATTTATAGAAGGCCATCAAGAGGTCCTACTTTCTAGTGTACCTTGGCCTCTGTGAGATTTGCAGTTCACAGTTTAACTTTAAACTACACTCAGATGCCAGTTTATTTGTCCCAACTAGCTGAAACTAATGCAGCCTTATCCAAAAGCCCTGCAGTAACTCCTGAACATCGTGATATGATTGTGAAGATGATAAGTAGTTTTTGTTGATTCTACATTATGGTCATTTTGGAATGTGTAGATTGTGCTTCTGGTTTCTACTGCATTTCAGTGAGAGGTGTTTCAAATATTTTGTCCATCCCCTTTATATCAATAACAGCAGACTTACTATCAAATTATTCAAATATTTACTGTATTCTAAAAATGCATGTGCATGCATTGCACAAATGAAAATACTTTGAAATAAAAAAATACTTTAGGTGTTAAAATGTATGAACACAAGATATAGAACATGACAATCAGATACCACTATTGAGAGCCCTTCTGCTAATTGCTAGGGGGGTACATTTTTGTCCCCTGGCTGAGGCCGCAGCCCCCTAGTGTCACACAATGGAGGGAGAAGGTTAAGAATGTTTACTACATGAAAAAAATAAGTGTAAGGTTACAATTAAATGCAGATGTATTCGTGTCTAAGTGGTCCCAAATAATTGAATATTTTAAACTGATTTGAGCTAAGGGACAGTGAAACAATTCATTATTTTCTTATTTAAATGTGAATGCTACATGATTTTTAAAATTGTTATACTGTAATTTTAGATTCTTTCTCCGTAACTGTTCTTACCAGGAAAAAAAGGAGAAAGGGACAGAGAGGATTATGCAAATGGTTTCAACTTGTGATAAGGTCAGACACACCTACACAAAGGCATAAATACACACACACACACACACACAAAACTACATAACCCCAATGAACCAAAAGCCAACTCTTACCCCTACAGTATGATGGCTTACGTTGTGGGGAGCAGCTTTGTCCCCAGATGGGAGCGCAGTCCCCACAATGTAACTGTGAGAACACATTTCTGTCCCCACAACACTCACACTCACAACACACACTCAGTCTCCTCAGTGGCCTTGACACAAGTGTCGACAATCCATCAACTGCAAAAACAAAACAAAAAAAGAAGAAAGAAATTGCAGAGAGGAAGAGAAAGACAAAGAATCTGAATACCTTTCAGTTGTATAATTCTACCCAAATGTGAAAAGACACTAACACACATTTAATTTCAATTTCAAAAATGTCAATTCATAGTTGTCCCATCGTCATCCAGCTCCAAATGCAGGATAACCTTCAGACTGTCTTTAAATAAAGAGTCAGTACCTCCATTGCTAAAGACAAACACTAGACTAGACTGGACTATGTTGGGAAACACTTTCCACAAGTCATTTTTAATTGTTAGCATCTCGTAAATTGTACAATAAAAGTAATGACTGCAATGTTTTCACTACATTTATTCAGCCTACATTTCAACACACCATCTGTACAGAACATTTTCTTACTTATCACCTTCTGCCAGCAGTCACTCATACATGCGGGAGGCCCATGATGTTCTGCTCTGTTCATTAGATGCTATAAAATAATGCTGATGCTTACAGCTGCTGTTGATATTAACTCATCACTTCATAAATATGCCTTATAATAAATATGTTTTAGGGTAAAGGTTGCAGTGGGCCTTTATTGTAAAACTTCCTCAAGAAGTGTTTTCATTACTGACAAAGTTGACTCAAAATAGTTAATTCAGACATTTTTATACACAGTTTGGTAAAACGATGAGAGAATTGGAACAGCATTGACTGACTCATTCACAGAAGGTCTGTAGTTTAGCAGTTTGGTTTTGGTTTGTTAGAAGAAAAAAGAAAAAGACTGAGACACAAAGATCGTGGTCAAATCTAAATGTTCAAAAGACTTTGAGTCTTTGAGAGGGCAGCATGTCGGCTCTGATATGGTCTGTATGCTGTATGGTCTGCATCTGTTCACAATAGCTAATCCTAGCCTGATAATCAGACTGAATTACCATTTGTTTTACTTCAACATTCAGACTCACATTTTGTTCTTTAACAAGCTGCTAGATTTTGCCCTAACTAACAATCAGCACAGAAGCTTCAGTAGCAGTAGCAGTTTCCATTGCTGAAAAATCTAAGATGACACGAAGATTTAAACTTGAAGTTTACAAGTGGCTCTGTTTACACTGAGCAAACTTTTTATCTAGTATGATCAGATTTGCATTACAGAGGGGATGCCAGCACCTGCTCCACAGTCGTAAAAAAAATCCTATCCTGATGGACGTGACATGATT